AATATTTACTGTCATTATATTATTTTATAAAATATTAAAAATTAAATACCTATGGAGCTTACGTCTCGTGCCTCGGGGCTTACGCCCCGCTGAGGCACATGTAAAACGCCTCGCTTTACGCCCACGCCTTTTAAAACACTGATATTATGCTGGAATATTTTTGGATTTTAAGGGTGTTTTTGTTCAGATTTTATCTTTAAATGAAAAAGTGGCTAAATTTCGAATACTTTTGAAATTGTAACTATTTTTTAGTTACCAGTTGTAAATCTGGCTATTTCTGATTTTTCTCCCCTTTTTGAAAACATGTGACGCCCAATGGAAAGTGGGCTTTGGTTGGGGTCTAGCCCACAAAGTCTTTAAGAGTTCTGTTTGGGTTCGAGGAATATGAAAATAGTGGGGGTGGTATGCCCACCATATAACCTTTTTTTCTCTTTTCTGGAGTCATATGACCTTTACTAGTTTCAAAACTGACGGAGAGGTTATTAGCTAAATATCTGTTTGAAGAATCTAAATCCATAATGTTTTAAATTACAGTAAACAGTGTCTATAACAAATAACAAATAACAAAAGGTTTAAAACAAGGACATAATAGGCTTCACGAAATACCTTAAAGGGTTGAGATCCACAAGCTATTATTTCACTTTCTAGTTGATATTTGAAAAAAATTCCAATAAACAGTACAATTGGAAAGTACTACTCAGCAGTTTTAAGTAACATGTAGAGACAAATGTTTTATCTGCCAAAGAAAAGCTTAACAAATTGTTTACCCGTAAAACGGTACAGTTGAATTTATACGTGATTTTTAGACAAGTGAATTAATTTGATCCTGAAATAATAGGAGAATTGAATAAATATGCAATATTTAGCCTTGAGATGAAGATGAAATAGCAGAAACAGTAGTTCCGGGAGCAGGGCTTCCGGGCACAACAATAGTGAAATCAAAAAGTAAGAAGTTAAAATTGTATAAAACTTTGAATAGATTATAGCGTGAGTTTACCAGAAAATTCGTGTCCTTTACAATGATAACGAAGCTCACTATTTATAGTTGCACCTAGGGAACAAGGTCATAGGATCATGCCCTTCTTTAATTTCAATTATGAGGGTCATTGAAGAATGTGTAACGATGGGCATGAATAACAAATTCTTTATAACGGGCAATGTACTAAACGATGTAGAATATTATCCATTAAATGCTACCGGGTGGTAGAAATTTATAGCATCTTTATGAGCATCATTCTTTCCGGTAACAGATAGAACAACTGTCTTCGATTTTAGCTATCCGCTATCTTTGGCTCCGCGTGTCGCTCCCTCATGTAATCACTTAACATAGCATATTTTATCCTATACAGATAATCCCTCTGCTTTTCGGTGACATAACTTTGTGTCATCGGGAAGTTGGTAGAAATATTCTTTTGGCGGGAATTTCACTAACCCCCTCTGAAAAGCTTCTGACGGTTGATTAGACGCACGTCTCTCTGTATTTAATGCCCCAAACACGCGTCATCCCACAATTTAGCATAACTTTCGCCGGCTATCGAGGTAATTATGGCCACGAATTTAGCCGCCTATGTCACACCTCCTTTTTCCCGATGGAAGGATATGGAGTTTTTCCAATTAAAGTGACATTAATCGAAATGGGATTGTTTATTTATTTCAGAGTCGCCACTTGGAATAATTTATGGTGTCCCAAGTCACCGGTTTATTTTAAATCCCAAATCGAGGAAATTGACTCTTATTTATGGTCTGCGAACACAGAAGACCGGGTAAGAAATTCTGTTAACCCGGGAGAAGGTGTGAAGCACTCCCGAGTTCCGTGGTTTTAGCACGGTTGCTTAACTATTAATATTTGGCTTAATTATCTGATTTATTACCTCTTTTAAACCTATTGTGCATTTTACTTTTTAACCGCTTTTAATGTTTATGAAAATTATTTAAATAAGTCGCGATGTCGTGCACTTATTATTTTTGTACACATTGTGAATCGCGTCACGTGAAACGCACCCGCGACTCACAACATGTTTATTTTAATTAATATTTGAAGTTATGATAGAGTCACGTGAAACGCACACTCGAATTGGGATTATGTATCGTGACCATGTCACGGAAACCGTACCCATAGTCACGATAATTTATTATAAATCGCGCCTAATGCAAGCTACTATATTCGAGGATACTCAATTTTAATTATTGAGGAGATTAAGTGTTCAGGAAAAACTTTATTATGGATGCATCTGAATTAAGGTAGAAATGACATTAATATCACATCAGTTGAGATTACATTGCACAAGATAACACCAACCTCATATTCACTAATAAATCATCCCATTTATCCATATTTTCTATATTAATCTACAGCAATGTGAACAAGCACAGGTATAACAAAGCGAATCAACGCATTCAAGGATACATTTCAATTTCAGAGAAACTTGAGGACACTCAATCATATCACATAGTGGATATATAAGGAAGGATCTGTATATACAAATGTAACATTGCCACTCATTTCAATATTAAGCACGAGCAACTTGGATACTAACAATACTCCCTATTTACTACTGCTCCTAAATATAAGCTTGCCTAGACATGATCAAACAGTTGGTCTGCATTCCTGTTCCGCGATCATCTTTACAGAGGAACACATCATTTGGTTTCCAAATCATTAAAAAAAACATCAATAATTCTCCTGGATCTAATTATAACACAAAATCATAAAACTAATTAAGTCTCATCAACAGAATTCAAAGAAGGCATTTCAATTTCCTCATTAAAATAAGCTACACCATCATAAACTCAAATACATTAAGGGATTATCGAAGAAGTAAATGGATTACCTCAAAAAGGACAAGGATAAGCGATTTGGATCAAATAAAGGCCAGAAAAATGAAGATGAAGCTGAGCAACTTATTACGGCAGAAACAGCAAAATCACAGCTTACACTAGCTTAAGACGAAAGTGAATCTTTTATAGATCCAAGGAAAAGGAATTAGAACTTTGAAAATTCAGCAATCAATTACTTCCCAAATCTTGTTCGAAATCGCAGTTTTCTATGTGTATCTATGTGTGTGTATCCATGAATCCAAATGAGAGTGAGGTCCCTCCTATTGCGTGAGAATCCGAGAGGTGGGGGTGGCTGCTAAGTCCTTTTTTTTTGTAAAGGGGAAGATAGGTTTTCTAAGAGAGGGGGAGATCTGTTCTTCGTTGTTAGAGTGAGGGCTCTGAAATCAGAGATGGGGGTAGCTGCAATATCCGGGAGTGAAGAAAAAGATTGGCAACGCTAGGTTTTTAGAAAATGGGGGAGAGTTTTCGTCCGTCTCTGTTGTGGTTTTTTGCCTCTAAGCAGAGAGTGAAATTAGGGTCTCCTCTAATAGAGTGGGGGAGAAGAGTATGGGCTAGACGATGGGGTGGATTGAGCTTCTACAGGTATGGGCTTGAAACAATTACAAAATTAGTCACTTCGGACTCAAATTTTAATTAAAACCAATTTGTGTGGCTAAACTATTATATATATTTTACTCACTAATTGACTAATGACCTAATTAATTAACTAACCTAAGAATGCATGTAGAGTTACTAATGTATTTTTTTGATATTTTAGTGTTTTACAAATGCAATTGATTATGCAATTAAAATTTAAAAAATATAAAAATAAAATATATTTTTGTATTTTCTTTAGGATTTAAAATGCAACTTAAAAATGCATCAAATATGAATACGTACAAAGCAAACTAAATAAAAATATAGAAAAATAATTTAAAGCTATATATATATATATATTTTGGATTTTTTTAGGAGTAATTTTATATTAGGGCAAAAATTCGGTGCTCACAGCCTAAACCTTTACTTATACGCATCAACATCATTTATTCATACCCCATAATTGTCCAAACTCTCTCAAACTCTCTTCATGCAACTTGTACTTTGTTCTTCAACCTTTCTTTAATTCTCTTCATAACCAAAAAGTTTTTCCTTCTTCTCTAACAAATAATGGCTTCTTTTTCCAAAAATCTAAGTTCCTCAAAGAACAAAAGTAAATCCGATGAAGCCACTCCTCCTACCATGAGTACCATCATCCCTAGAAGTCTTGTTACAACTAAAGACTTTGAAGAGAAATTTTCTTATGCTAACTATCGTACATGGGCCGTTGGCAAATATCCTTTTTTTATTCGTCCTTCCAGTATTCCTGTTGTGAAGGAAGATTGTCATTGCCAGGACTTAGACATTATCGCTCCTGATCTGGCGGAGCGAATAACCCTACTCAAGAAGGATTTTACATACTTTATACGTATTCCTTCACTTTGGGGACGTTTTCTCTAAGCGGAGAACTTGACTCCATTATTGTGGAGCTCTGCCTCTGCTATCAGGTATGTTTGGCACAGGTGAGTCCCTCCTTGTGGAGGACGATTGCTTGTCTTCGGCGCCTGTGCCAAGAAAAGGGGGAGGAACTAACCTTAGCTCACGTGATGAATATTTATTCCCGCAAGATCTTCCGTGGGGGGGATGATTAACTTCATCAAGCAAGGCCACCATGCACGGATATCTAGCATGGACTATGATAATGACCGTGGGTGGATGAAATAATTTGTTTTAGTTGCCTCCAGTGACATCATCCCGGCCTCGGTTCCGTCTTTCCCGGAATTATGGAACCGTACTCGTAAGTATATAGTTTGCTTCTGCTTCTGCTAAAGATCATTTCTCGTCATTATTGACTTTTCCTCCTTTACATGTCTTAGCGACTCTGTGAGTTCCCCCTAGGGTTGAGGGTTTGGACCAATGGGTTAAGAAAATTATGGACGTTGGTACGCCCGAAACCTGCACGTGGAAAGAGCTGTCCCTGAAATATGGGTGGAAGACCAAAAATCATGGTAAGTTGAACTCATATTGTTTTTACCTTTTCTTATAAGAAAGTTATATGATTCTTCTCTCTTGTCGAATATAGGTCTACCCCCGAGTTCGGTTGTCATCCCCGAGGAGGACATTTTGGTTGATCTTGATAATGTAGCGAGGCTACTGCAGAAGGCTTTTTCACAGACAGGCGTCTTCGGACCTGCTTCTGGTGCGAGTGTTTCTTCTCAGAGTCCCCATCCGGAGAACAAGAAACAAAAAAGAAGGCGTTCCTCTGCGTCCGGGGGAAACAATAAGAGGGCGAAGGATGCTTCCCTCGAGTTGTCTCCAGAAGTCGTGGTGATGAGCCTCCGCCCGGGCTGGCCATAGATAACGTGATGATTGATGATGACAGAGAAGCTAGCGAGGAAGGAGGTTTTCTACATAAAAAATGACGACCTTCCTCAACTCAACAGACTACTCAATCTTGTTGAGTTAGTTACACCAACCGAGGAATATGCCTCGGTGCTTTGGGGAGTTTGAAATGAGGGAAAATGCCAACTCCCGTTTTCGGATCCCAGTCACTGCGCCTGGTATTGTGGGGCTGAGTACCGGGTCCCTACCGTCTTCGGTTGACGAGCAACCAACAACTAGCACTGCATTTTACGCAGCTGCTTCTCATCCTTCAACACCATCAGATTCATCTCCGTCTCCACTAATTCTTCCACCAGCAACTGCTACATCATCTCCATCGGCCGCATCTATCCTAGAAGAGGATGTTTCTCTGCCCTAGTCCCCAGTTCACGGGAATTTGGGGCAAAATTATGTTGCCCCCTCAAAAGATCCACAAATGAGGAGGAGCGTTACTCTCTCGATCTCTACCGGATGCAACTTACTGTCCCGGTTTGTGGAACTTGCTAACTATCTGAAGCCTTTGGCTTGAGAAAAATATTGGTAAAAGATACAAGCTCTCTCGGGAGCGTGTTTGTTTAACAATGTTATGCACAACTCCGCAACGGTACACTCTTCAGTTCCTTTGTCATTTCTCATGTCTTTGCTTTAGTAATATCTTGAGTTCGCCTTTATTGTTTCGCATGCCAATTTCCTTACTTCTGAGGGCCTCTAGAGGTTGATTTGGAAAAAAAAAGAACTTACCTCCGGGCGAGATCAACTTTTGGCCGAGCGAGACCAAAATACTGCTCGCCTCTCAGAACTGGAAGCCAAAGCTACTGAGGTCGTTGTATTGGAGGCTCGTTTGCAGCAAAGCGAGCAAGAAGTGGAAACCCTTAGCCAAGAGATCGCCCCGCTGAGGATTCAATTTGAAAAGTCCAAGGCCAAATGGGCTGAAGTCCATAGTGTTGTTCTTGCCGCATCCGATCGCGAGGCTGCCTCCGCTGAGAGATTGACCAACTTGGAGGCAGCCTTGAACTCCAAAACTGAAGAGCTTGCTGCTGCGGGTTCCGGTTGCGGGTCGTTTTATGCTCAATGGTCTTCTTATACTATGGACCAAACTGAAGATTCTATTATGCTCAATGGTTTTCTTATACTATGGACCCGCAGCAGCAAGGATGTTTCTCTTCCTCCGGGTTTCGGAGATGCAACAACTTAGCTTTTCCTTTTCTTTTCCCAACTTTTGTGCATGTGCCATTTTGGCACATTTATTGTGAATAAAAACATCTTTTGCTCAAGTATTGCATGAGTCTTTCTGCATTCTTTTGTTTGAAAATTTATGCAAGTTTTAATCTTTGCGTTCTTTCTTGCTTGAGTGTTTTGCGCAAGTTTTACTGTTTGTGTCTGATTATGTAAGGCCTTGGGTATATTTCTCCTCGAAAGATTTGGATTTCGGGCACAAGTTTTTCTGAAATCAACCCCTTATCGTGAGGATTTTATAAGAGAGGGCCCTGTTATGTTTACTGTGCTCTTGAAGAGGACGTCTCCTGTTCATTATGGCACTAGCATTTGAAGTACTTGTTTAACTTTCAAACGACAAAATCAATTCATCGTTCATACAAGAAACAAGATAGAAATAAAAGGACTTTACTTTATTCCTTCCATTTTCAAAAAGTACATAAGCATTCGTTATGCTAAAAAAAATTGCCATTTCTTGTGGCTAACTTGTACAACTTGTTTCTACAGGGCTGGCTGCGCAATTCCCGGTCCCGATGATACAACTATGTTTTCGGTTTTCGTATTTTTGTCAACGTGGCAGTCATTGTTGCCGTGTCCTCATATCATTCCCCCCCAGTGTTTGAATGTGAAGGATGCAAATTGGAACACTGGAAGTTTTGCACCTTCGAGGATTCCACTAATGAATTGCTAGATGGTCTTTAGTTCGGTAACAAATTTCACTTCCCCTTAGGAATTTATGTCATCGAGCCAAAGAATATCTAACAATCCCTAAGTGGTTTGCACTTGTGAACGGTCGGGTAACCTTTGCTTGATAGAAAACTTAATTTCCCGGTGGGAATTTTGCTATCGAGTCAAAGATTATCTAACTTCTTCGGAGTGGTTCTTCGCTTGTGTACCTTGCTATTAAAAGGTCTTATTGATGCTGTTGAAACCTTCTTTTCAGTAGGCTTTCCGTTGTTGCCTCATTAAAAACCTTGCCAGAAAAAACTCAATTGGGACAAAAACTAGACAAAGGAAAAAAGAGCGCATCACATACTTTCAGTACAGGTGTTGTTCATCAGCAATAATATCTCTTGAGGTGTGCCACATTCCAGTTGCTTGGCAACTTTTCTCTATCCTGATTCTCCAACTCCTATGAACCTTTTCTGGTGACAGCTGAAACCCGGTATGGGCCTACAAGACCAGCATACTGCACTAACTGGCAGGTCTACAAGCCTCTACCGACCTACCCATAGCCTATATACATATATACACAAGATGTACACAAAACTTCTAGACTCGGCAATTCCGAAGGACGTGGAGCTTACCGATAAAGCTGAACTCGGGCAACACCTACTGAGGAGGTCTACCCGTTTACCTACACGCATGAAATGCAGCATCCCCAGAAAAAGGGACGTCAGTACGAAATAATGTACCGAGTATGCAAGGCGATAAAACTGAAATGGAGGTATTATCAGTTTAGTTATGCAACTGAACTGATAATATAATAACTGAAAGTAACTGGGATTGATCTGGAGGTATACTTACTTGCTGTTACTGACTCAACTCTCTTAATATAGTAAGTAAAATAAATGTCCGGCCTTACAAGGCTCAGTATATATATAACTGCTCCGCCGTAGTAGGCTCGCTCATAGGCGCTTGGCCAGACTAGGCTCTGTATCTCGACCAAATGGGCTCGTTCATAGGCGCTCGGCCACAGTAGGCTCAGTATATAACTTACCATCTGATCTGAGGTTGCCCAATAGGGTCCTGTCCATCGATTATAGATCGATGGTAATGCAAATACTGTAATACTGTATATCTAAATGAACAATAAACGGGAAACCTATTTTAGGGTCAGAAACGTGTTAATACTTTGCCTTGAGATAATAAAATAGGATAACGTAACCAAGCAACACTTGTTTTATT